ACAGCTCGCCCATTTAGAGCCTGCATCGCTTCTTCTCGAAGACGCTTGTTCGAAGCCTCCACATAGCACAGGATTGCGAGATATCAGCGATCGGGCCGTGGAGTTCGAAGTTCGAAGCTCATGTGTTGGGACGCTGTTGGCGTTCTTAGCTGTCAGGGCCTAGTTGGCCTAGTTGGAAGCGAGGCTTTAAGACCACAACATGAAAGACAATTTTTGCAGCACCGGTGATGAATGCTTGCTGCTCGCCACAGATCGCGCGGTGCAGACCGAACCTGCACGGTGTGTACAGACGCCTGCAGGACGGCAATCTCTGCCTTCAACTCGCACATCTGATCACCAGCATCGCTTTTCATACTGACCTGCCTCCTTCATGGTGACGTCTTGCTGCACCATCGTTCTTCAGAGCTCCATGTTGGTTCAACCACAAACATGAATGGCATGGACCGCAACGGCTGGAGCGGCTCTTGGGGCCTTGACATCGTCATCACCCTCTCTAGACCCTATCGGTGCTTGCTGGCCTTGGCTGCTGCTGACGTCGCCAGCTCTGCTCGATCTGTATAGCCGATGACAAAGCGGTTTGCAGGGACGCACCTGGGCACTTTCACTGTACTACCTTCTTTCCAGCTAAAAGAAGAGTCCGTCGGGGTGCACGTAAAGCGAAGGCAGACCATGGTACGTTTTGGTGAAGCCATGGTGCACTTCTCAGTCAATTGGGCAGCTTGTTGGGCTTTCGCAGCTAGCGCAGCCTGCGACATGCAGACTGCGGCTGTGAAAGACGCTGCTTTAACCAAGTGCAATGAAAATTTGCCACGGCACCTTCGTCTTGATGTGGGCCTTCTGCAGTCCAAGCTCGGCCTGGCGAAGTGGGGCCCGACCCCATGCTCCGTCTCCCTAATCATGCCATGACCCTACGCCAGCTCCTTCTCAGCCCGCTCTGCTCTGATGGTCATCTTTGCCGCGACCGCTTCTGCCTGCGGCACAAGGCACACGGCTCCAGCCCAAAATCCAAGGCTTCAACCCTCCCCGAAAATGGAACAGCGTCAGCATCACACCATGAAACGCGCGAGAAGCCGCCTCCCGGCGAACAACAAGTTTAATGAACAAAACTATCAAAACTGTAGTCAGTGCGCCCTTGAATCAGCAGCGAAGCAAAAAGCTGCACAAGACCGGCGTCATCAATTTCAGCAAACTTGATCCGGTTGCCCTGCATACACTCTTGCATAAAGCAGTGCAAAACATCACTTCCACGCTGCTTCTGTGCCCTTGCCGATGACACAATGGCAACATCTCGCTCGAGCAATTCCTGCCATCCTTCAAGATCTACTCAAATGCCATGATGTGATGGCGGCCTCTAGCAAAGTTTGGTGATACCTTTTCGTGATACTCCAGTAACTAAGAAGGCGCTCGAACAAGGCCATGGTCGCCAGAACGCCCTGATAGGCTAATTGATTCTGCCGCTTCGCAGTACTTGTTCGGAGCCATGTTCTAGCGATCCGGGAGGCTCTCCCGAATCATCTGTGACGTCAGGCTCATGTTCGTCATCGCGTGTGCTATCTGGCTCCTGTTCCTGTTTCAGCATGACCGGTATGAGTTTGGCGCCCTGCAGCAGTAGTACTTTAATGACTGGCCGGTGTCTTGCGGTGTCTTTGCTTCAAAAACCCCTGCACTGACGATTTGGACAGGAGCACGCACCTCTCTTGCTGCAGCTTCAGCTTCTTTTGCTCTGGCCTTTGCTCTTCGGCTCGACTGGACATGACGTGTTGGAGGCTTGTACTTCTGTCTGATGTGTGCCTCTGCCTCTTCCTTCTGCACGTCCGATTCTCGCAAGGCGTCCTCGGCAGCTGCTGCTGCTCGAAGCTTCTCCACCAGCTGCTCCTCAGCTCGCATGCAGAAGCCAAATATCTCAGTCTCAAGCACGGCTGCCTGCACTTCTGCGAGCTTCTCGTCTGTTTCTGCCTTGCATGCGGCGAATTTGCTTCGAACTGTGACTGCAGCCGGCCCCCAACTGCACAATGGTCGTGCGAACGGGCCACCATCCGGATCCCCAAAGCCATGTTTGTTTCCTGGGCTTGCGCAAGCCTCGGAGGTGCAACGCGACAGATGGACAGTTTCTGCGCGTGTCTCTACCTTGACTAGTTTCGAGCTGAGCCGATGACAATTCATTCCTTAGTTCTCCACTGACAACACACTTTGCAGCGCCATGAACGAGGCTGTCGCACCAATGCGTCATGCAGGCCATGGCCGGGGTGAGGTTGCATTACATGAACCTTCAAAGCGACAACACGTGGACATGCTCGTCAAGGCGCTTGTTCTGCAGCTCCGCTTGCACTTGCAAGGGCTGGCTCTGCAGCTGCTTCTCCGCAAGCTGTAGTGCATCAGCACCTGTAGTTCCACGCCAGACATACGTGTGGCCCGTTCCGCGGTAGGACTGGGAAAAACATAGCTCGAGTAGGTTCGTGGGTTGATCTGTGAAGATGCCTGCTTATGGCCCCATGCCGAGGCGATGAGTGCCGAGGCACGCGAAGCCTTGTGGGAGATCTCAGCCAACCTTAACTTCCCATGAACATCCGAAGACAAAAAGTGACGAAAGCAGAGTTCTGTACGCAGCCAGGCAACTGCTGTTCCAATTGCTCGCGGTCTTCTTGGAGTTGCGGCACCTCCGATGAGAACTTCCGACAGTCATAATCGGTTTCCAAATGTCTCTAGTCTGCCGGCTCATCTGGTGCGCCCGTGGATGGTCCTTGCTTGAGCCTATTAGAATTATTAGACACCAGCTGCCTTTGCAGCTTCAGTGGCGAGAGCGGCAGCCTTGCAGGGCACACTCTGAAAGGGACGCCCAGACTGCAGCTGCGCGATCATGGCTCAGCTCAACATGATTAACACGATTAAAGCTTAAATTCAACGTTAGCTCACGGATTTAAGATCACCCTGAGCAGTTGCGTGAGAAGGCAAGTTGCAGTAGGAGTGCCTGCCACTGCGGCAGCAGTGACGAGGCCGTGCGAGACCGTGGTTGACGTCCGCGCACAGGACTAAAGCGCGAGCGCGAGTGCCACTGTGTCCCACGCAGATACCGCAAAACGCACGCGCGACAGAAACGAGCACGCCGTCACACTGGGAACTGCGAGCCGCGATGAGCCGCAGAGCTGCTCACATATCGCACGATGATTCAATTAGTCTAACCACGAAGCAAGCGCCTCCATATCGCTGAAATGTGCTAAACCGTTTGGAAGACGTGCACATAACAGGTCGCACAACTTTGACACTCTGTCGCCACTGTCGCCCACCTCCTCTCGTGCGGCGTGCGTCTCCTTAGCAACGGGAAAGGCACTGGCTGTTCAGCTGTTCCTTCCTTTGCATTTGCACCACGCAAGCGTAGTCATGGCCACTGCAAGCACACAACATGGAGCAGAGTCGGTCACGTTGTGTTGCCGGGAGTCCCGCCACTCCTGCAACCCCTTGTGTCCAAGCAGCTGCTTGGGCAATGCGAAGATCTGAAGTGAGTGCATCAGCACCAACCTTAAGACAGCTCGGGTTTTGGATTTGTCCATGCCTGCGCTTTGACGAGCGCTTGCTCCAACTCGACCTCCCTCATTTCTTTCGCGATGGCCTGGAATAAGGGGGAACTTAGAACCCTAGCAAAAATTTTAATTTTAGCTGTTTCTTAGGGATTATAATAACCAAAAATCAAAAATTATTTCCAAGTACCCCTAAGGTTCTTTGCAGAAGCGCTGGGTGTCAGAGTCCAGTCAAAGCACCGATCTCTCTGTGAAGGTGACGTCCGTGACGGTCATATGGGAGTTTCCGAAATTGAGGGTACCTTATAAGGGGACCTTATAATAGGGATCCTACTATTTAGGGTACTAAGGGTCCCCTATTTTCGGAAACTCCCATATTCGTATATCTGAGAGCAACCATGAGAGCAAAGCAGGCAGAAACATAAGCAAGATACGAATCCTACTGCTACCCCATATACGATTAGCAAGTACTCCTAGCAGTACCACGGTTCTGCTTACAAACAAGAAAGTCACTCCCAAATTCTACTTCGAACTCCCATTAACTGACATAGCTGCAGCAAAAGCTTCGCTCCCGAAGCCCCCAAAACCCCGAAACCCCGCAAACTAAACAACAGCTGAGAGCACACAAAACCACACCAACACAAACGGAGGAAACGCAGCAACAACAACCCTAAACCCTGAACCCTAATACTATAAGCAACATAAGGTCATAAAAACTCCTAAATCCTGAACCCTACACCCAAAATATTAACTCCTAAACTGGAGACCGTGGACCCTAACACCCTGAAGCTGAACCTTCTAACCTTCACCCTAAACTCTCAAGCCCAAGACCCAAGCCGATAGATCCTAAACCCTACAACCTAAAGACCCTAAACCCTCAAGGCCCTAGACCCTGAACCCTAAACCCTAAAGACCCTAAACCCTAACGTTTTCCAAAGACCCTAAACCCTAAACCCTGAAGACCCCAAACCCTAAACCCTAAAGACCCCCCTAAAGACCCTAAAGACCCTAAAGCCTAAACCCTAAACCCTCAAGACCCGGAACCCTAAACCCTACAGACCCTAAATCCTAAACCCTGAAGACCCTAAACCCTACACACTAAAGACCCCAAACCCTGAAGACCCTAAACTCTCACCCCAAGGACGCAAATCACGGGCTCTCCTGCAACGCCCGCTCGACGATCCGGCTCTTTGGCACCTCGGGCTAGTAGGGAATGCAGGAATGGGGTATACTACTATTACTACTACTACTACTACTACTACTACTACTACTACTACTACTACTACTACTACTACTACTACTACTGAAGTGCCGGGTCCCGTGCTCTTGTCTGCCACTCAGTGCACATTGGTGTCCTGATCGATTCGTGTCGGTGCAAATAACAGCCGTCTCCTATTTTTGTCTCCTGCGCCTGGCCTATTCCTCTCAACATAGAGGCAAGGTCTCCCCAGGCCATACTGAGCCAGGTGTACGCCTGCCGGCGCAATGGCTCGACATGTTGTGCTCCCTCCCATCCTACATCAGGTGGCGCTGGAGGAAAGATTGCTGCTACAGCAATTGCGTCAGCTACTGGAGGATTGGACCTCGCACATCATTCCGCCCAGCCTCACAGCCTCACCGCGCAATGATATTGTAGCTTTTGCGTGCCAACGGCTACCAGAAAGCTTGAAGTCCCGTTTCCTGACCTACGCGGACACGCTTGCTACTGCTCTGCCGATGGAAGGCCTCTGTGTTACGCTGCCGCCGCCTTATGGATGTGTGCATTCCTCGATGCACGATGCGGAAGCTTTCGCCTGGCATGCGCTCAATACCTACACCGGGCAGCCGTGGACGTTGGCTCGCCTGCTACTCCCGTTGCTTCCCCTGGAGCAGGACGAGCGAGCACGTGGTGCAGGCCTTACGCTGAATCTTGGCCTCTATGTCAAAGGCGGCATCCACGGCTACTACAAGTACACCAAGCTCTTTCCTAATGTGTGCCGCGTCCTGAACATGCTTGTCATGGCGGTGCACCCGGACCACAAGTGGTCAGCGCTTACGCTGGGCGTGGACAACCGCACATTGCCGCACAAAGACCGCTGGAACTCGGATCATGACTCCCTCTTGGTGGGGCTCTCTCACCACATTGAGGGCGGCATTTGGGTCGAAAGGGAGCAAGGCCAGCACTTCGAAGAATGCGACGATTACGATGATCTCCGTCCCGGTGATGTGTGGGAAACGGCCGGCCAAGCTGTCCTTTTCCCGGGACGAACTCACTGGCATGCCACGCTACCGTGGACGGGTGGAAACAGAGTAGTCCTGATAGCCTATGCGCCGGGCCATACTGCTACGGTCAAGTCGCACCAGATTGCTCACCTTGTGGACCTGGGTTTCGTTCCACCGGCAGTCTGATTTTCAGTTCTCAGCTTTCTGACTTTCAGATTTGGCCACACGACTGCTTCGACTGTTCGCAGGGGTAGCTGGACTAGCCGGAGATGCGTCGGAAAAGACACCCCTCCCCCACTAGGGAGTGTGCATGCTACCACATGCGAGGCGCTCTCATGCTTCTGCTCACTCGTAAATCCTGTAAATCTATGAGCATTGCCAAGGTCGGCCATGGCAACGTTCCCTGATGGAGCGCACACAGCAACCGGCCGAAGCCGCCGCGCACTCATGCCACCATAAATGCACTCTAGGCTGCCTCTCCCGCCTCCGTAGCTCCCTTGCTTAGTCCCGCTAAGCCTTGGAACTGCCCGCTTAGGTCCGTTGCATACGGCGCTGCGCTGCTGCTCAACGCCAGGCTGTACCATCCGGTAGAGCGATATGAGCCACAATCACTGCTGCCGCAATTGCAGGCTGACTGCTGGGCACAGGCATACCAGACGGTGCGTGCAACTGCAAAGGGCCTTGCTTCACATGCCCGCCTACTACATGCAACCCAATGGCCGCTGCTGCACCTCAGGCTGTGACCGAACGGCATCGGGCACTCACCTTACATGCTGCTCGATCTGCAGATCTTCGGCAGGTCTGGTTCACACAGCCCGTTGTCACAGGGCACACAGTGCAGCTGCTGCAGCTCCCGCATCTTCATCGACACAGGCCGCGACAGTGATGACACAGCTCCAGACCACTGGCCCCGCTACGTCGTCTTCTCAGCATGAGCATGGGTTCGAGCCTACCACACCGACCTCTACCTCCTCGGCGTCGGGCTTGCAGCGACCCATCGATGTGACTGCGGACAGACTTCAGCGGGCAACTACCAGCACACCAAGTATGCCTGCGATTGGGTCTGTTGCTGCTTCGCTGCAGTCTACAGACCAGTCGCCAGGGAGTACAAGCTCGAGGCCTGTACATAGCGAAGCGGTGCATGGAACGGAGGCCGACGGTGGAACCGAGTTTTGCACACGTTCTGACAGCTTCGACCTGAACGACATGGATTGATGATAATTTTCCAGCTGACGGCAGCAGCTCTTTATAGCCAAGGGAGCCGTTAAATAATGGCGCGACACCCAGTCGCCGGACGCATGTCTGTCCCCGCGATGCGTCGACGGATCCGATGCAGCGACCGAATGAATGAATACTACTACTGAAGAGCCGGATCGCTCGACTCTTCAGCTGAAGGTGCTAAAGCCATGCGACGACGCCTCAGTATCGTTCCGAAACTTTATCGGATGATCCCCGAGGGAATCCCAGAACCATCAAACGCGGGCGCAACCCTCAACCTTTCACGCACACAGCACATGTTGTCCTAAGGGCTTCTGTGCACTCCTTAGGCGTAAGTCTTAGAGACGGTGCTCATGCTGCTGGCTTCTGCCGATCATGGCAACACTGTCTTCACACGATAGGCTTCTGCCGATCATGGCATGGCTCCTTGAGCCATCCGCTCAAAGAGAAGAAAGGTTCCTGATTACAACAGCAAGCTCCACTCAGTGACCTTTACACAAGGGAGGGCTTCAGGCATCAGCAACTACTACTACTACTACTACTACTACTACTACTACTACTACTGCTACTACTACTACCACTACTACTACTACTACTACTACTACTACTACTACTACTACTACTACTACTACTACTACTACTACTACTACTACTACTACTACTACTACTATTACTACCATTCTTCCATTCCCTACTAACCAACGGTAAGCTTTGGCACCTCGTCGGGGCAATCTTCGTAACCGAAGATCAGGTCTGGGTCGAAGAACCTGGGAAGAGAGGAGGGGTTCGAGGTGTTGGGGCTTAGGGATTTTCTAGTTCATGGTTGGGACAGGATTAAAAAATAATAATCCTATTCCTTATTGGGTTTAGGTACCCATAATATTGTAACATGTTACCCAACTATGACAAAGAAGAAGGGGTTCGAGGTTTTGGGGCTTAGAGATTTTAGGGTTTAGGATTTTAGGACTCTAGGGGTTTAGGAATTTAGGGGTTTAGGGGTTTAGGGTTTAAGAGTTGAGGGTCGGGTATGGATCAGACTGGTGTAAAGAAGGCGGGATGTTGAACGTTTAGAGCTCAGAACATTTCATGCTTGTTCTGAGGGCACGTGCAGCTATGGTTGCTGTCGGAATTCGGGTAGCTGGGGGTAGGTTGAGGTATGTAATCCAATGGGCCGATGATATTGCTAGTTGTTTTCAACACCCTAGCTGCCTGAATCACTGAATCCTAAACCATCAAGCCTGAAGTCTCAAGGCCCAAACCCCAAACCCAAAACCCCTAAACCCTAAATAGTCGGCAAGGAGCTGTGACAGCTCCGGCGACTGTCCCAAAGCCTGCTACTCCACGCCGGCCAAGGCAAAGAGGGGTCGCTTACAGCATGGTCATATTGCGGAACCCTACCCAGAGGCTGCATGTATGCGACCATTATAGAACCAAGCCCAAAAGACAATCCTCATTTTGCAGAGTCACGTACTGCTGATAACTATTCAGTCTTTTACAACCCTAAACACCAACGAACCCAAACCTAAAATCCTTCAAATATCCCCCAACCCCCAAACCCGACTAAACCCCCACAGGGCACCACGCACAGTCAAACTGAAGCCGCTAGGCTCGACGATTGGGCATGGCCTGTTGGATGATCGCAACGAAATTCCTCGAGACGATGCCCAAGCGCGCGTGCTGCGACAGCTCCTCTGGCTGTCGTGTCTTTAATATAGGGGCCTTAGTAAGTAGAATGGGGTTTGGGGGCCCATTATACTTTATCTATAGTAAGGAACCCCCAGAATAGTATGGGTAAATATTCAGCCCCCTGTAGCAGGCTTTTGCTTCTGTTTTCGTGTTGTGCAGGCGCGGCGGCGGACTTCGACCTCCCAAGCTTGTGCTTTATGTTGCGTGCATTTGGGAGGGGCGTGCCTTACAATTGAGGGTAGATTAGGGGGGCAGGTCTGCAGCGTGCATTTTTACTAGGCGGTGCATGAGTCCGAAGTAGGGCTGTTTCGAGGTGAGAGAGATTTGGAGAGAAGCTATGAGAAAATCCAGTCAAAGTACTTAAGCAAAGGATCGAAGCGGAGGCCATCTTGACTCTAGCAACCTATGGAGCAAGACTGGGAACCCGAATGGACAGCTGCACCTGTGCTCGGACATCAACGCAGGAACCGCTAGCTAGTAGGAAGTCCACCCTGAACTCTAAACCCTAAAGCCTAAACCCCCAACCTTTACCTTTGTCAGACTCTAGACCCTAAACCCGACACCCTCAACCTTAACCTTTGATAGACTCCAAACCCTAAACCCTAAACCCTAAACCCTAAACCCCCAACCTTAACCTTTATAGACTCTAAACCCTAAACCCTCAAACCGAAACTCCCGTCCTCTAGAATCCCCTGCATCTGTCTGAGGCGCTCCGAGCCCCCGAAGGCCCGAGCCCTCGCCGACTTCGACATCGGCCCATGCACCTCCTCGCAAAGTTAGGGTTTAGGGTTTAGGACTTATGTGGTTCTCTGAGGCTCTGAGGGGAGTTACAGGTTTAGGGTGCTCTCTAAGACAGGTTTAGGGTGCTCTCTAAGATGCCGTAGTAATTTTGCGGGGTTGCGCACGGTGCTATGGGGTTTGGGTTGGGTCTTATCAGGCTTCTGTAGCTGTGTATACAAGGGCTTTCACTTGCCGGAGCATGCTCAAAGGGTTCTTGCTAGCGTGCTGTGGCTATTGAAACGAAAAGGGTATTTTTCTTTCCATAGAACTTGATTCAGTGTTTCTGTGTGGTTTGTGTGCTGTAAGGGCTTTATAGTGCACTTCCTATAGCTTCCCGGCTGGTACACAATATGGTTTGGCGTTTATTTCTCGGACTGTCGACGAAGTCTTTAAGGGACCTACAGCTTCGCCAACAACGACGACAAAGAAACTAGGACGGTAAAACCAAAGTCCTTGAAGACAAAACATAAACAAACAAACAAACAAACAAAAACACGACGTGGGTCTGCATCGCTCAGAGACTGGCCTGTGTAGTCAGCACGCCGTCGAAGTCGAAAAGCACGACCCTTCCAGATCTTCGCACATCCCTTCATTAAGGTACATACCCTTAATCAAAGTAGTATCCCGGATATATAAATTGTATATGGGCTTGAGGACGAACGGGGGCTATCGAAGAAACAGACATGCAGAAGAAAGGGCTTTTCGAAGTACGACATGCTTGTACATAAGGTGTTTTGGATTTGTGAGGTTTAGGGCTTTGGGGTTTTAGGATTCAAGGTTCGGGGCTACTGGGGGTTTAAGGCTTTTTCGGGCCTCAGGATTGGGGTTTTTTGTGGGCTTTCGGATGCAGGAAGGGCCTTGGGTGTAGGCACCAGGGTGTAGTAGTCCTATATGACGGTTTAGGACGTCGGGTTTGGCCAGGGTTTAGCTAGGGTCTGCACAAGATATGAGGTTTTGAGTTGTGGAGCTTTGGGAAACTCCTTTCAAAAAAGACGTACAGGGGCACCTAAGCCCTCTAAAGCATACCAAACCAAATTCCCAACTTCCATCCCCGAATCCGAAACTCGGCTGGCTATTCAAAGCCTGTTGCAAATTCAAAGATGAACATCAGCCTTAACGCAATAAGTCACTACATCACACTACGGAAACCGAAAAATACAACAGTTGAAGCCCTGGAAGCCCTACAGCCCTGAAGCGCTTGAATCCCTTTTTCCCTGAATCCTGGCCCCAGAGACTTTAGCGCGCCTCCCACACGAGTCCGGATGAAACCTGCAAAAAGCCCAAATCACAACCAACTAAACCTTGACAAAACCCCAAAACACTGGCAGTCGTACAGAGCATAGAACCTCAAAGGAGCCCTCAACGGAACCCTCATACGTCCTTGTAGAAACGTGCAAACACCTAAACCCCCGATGACAAGTGTCCTCAGTTTCGTGTGCGGGCTGCTCTTGCCTCACTTCCGAGCCCCTCCTGCCTTCCAAGAACCTTTGAAAAGAAACTGACGAAAGAGAAACAAGTTTGGGGTTTAGGGTTTAGGCTGGTCCAAGCTCGGAAAAAGGGTGGCGAAAGCCTCGTCAACGGGGTGGCCGGGGCGATGCGCGACTTTCGGGGCGGCGGCTCCACGGCGTGTGCCCTGTAAAGCCTGGGGACACCCAGACTCGTCGACTCTGCGAGTTTTGATAGGGCTCCATATGGGAGTTTCCGAAAATAGGGGACCCGAATATAGAACCCTAAACAGTAGGATCCTTGCTATAAGGACCCCAAAAACGGTATCTCTAATTTTGGGAAACTCCCAAAATTAGATTACTGGGTTTAACGAGGCAGTACAGGTCGCTTAAGCAAACTTGGTAAGTACACAATGGCTACGGTTTGTGAGCGTCAGCGCTTAGGGTTTAAGGTTAGCAGGATCTACTTATAGGCTTCGCTGACTTCGCAATAAGCATAAATGCCGGGGATAAACTCTGGTCTGCGGTTTAAGGGTTTGGGGTCTGCTGACAGACTCCGTCGGAGGTAGTAACTAGGCTACACGAGAGGATGCTTGGAATAAACTCAAATTAACTAAAGAAAAGAAGTATGTTTCCGCATGCTTCAAAGAATCCGAAACCCTAAACTCGAACACCTAAACCGCAACAGCGGAACAGAGCAGGAAATCCTATAACGACTAAACTCAAACAAGCATTGGGAGGCCTATGAAGCCATGAAGAGGGGTTGCCGGGTCTAAGAAACTCGCAACAAGATCAGACAACTGAAAGCCTCAAGCCTAAAGTAAAGTTTGAACTCGAAACCGGAAATCCCAAATAACGCTACCCGAATAGCCCCCTATTGCAATCCCCTATACCCTCAGCATCATCCCAACCAAGAGCGAAAACCTGAAACCATGATCCACCAAACCCTGACCTTAAATCCTAAACCCGACCAGCATTGAAGCCGGTCAGTCCCAGACAAGTAGTCCCATAACCCGAAGAAACCAAGACAATCTGCAGCCATACTGTTCCGAAGGATCTAAAAAGCCCAAGACAAACCCTGCCAAC